ATAATCCAAAGTCCCAGAGAAATGGCGCTAAAGCATCCAGAACTCTGTTTTCATTAGGAAAGGGTCACGGTAAGAAACGGACCAGACACTCCTCATCCTTTTCAGTTCTACTTTTTACCAGCTTCCCTGTCCTCACAGAAGCTACACAGCATCTTTGTTCCACACTATCCCAAGGCTCACATAAACCTGGAAAGAGGCTAAGAGAGTTTTAGGATGAACTGTCTCAAACAGTAGATACAGTAATGGCATGCAAAGTGGAAAGGTCAGGCACAGAGCTGTAACCTAAGATGAATATGCCTTGTAAGAAGGCGGCCACTTTGTGCTTATACTACAATTTCCATTGCCTCATTTCTTGCCCTCCTCACCCTGTTACTCCTAACTTCTGGGGAAAGACCCCCAATCCCTCTTACAGCCCAGAGTTTGAGCACAGGATTGTTTCAGCATCCACAACACACAGAGCAATGTGACATGGAAATGTCAGGGAGAGGCTGCAGGTTTGACTTAACCCACTTCTTTAACCTAGGAGTGAGGAGGGAAGAGGAAAAAAGTCCCAGACACTCACATCCATAACAAAAACGTTAGGTGTTTCTCAGGTAGCCACACTAAGACTTTCTCTGAGCCTTGGCAATGTCTCCAACACTTTCACAAAAACAGAACTGGGAAAAAATATAGTTTTCTTGCAATTTAGTCCATTTTTTACTTGAGCACTGCAACCATCCACCCCCATTTACCAGCTTCTTGCTTTGCCTGTTTTAATACCTGTATGATCTCAGCAATTGATTCGAGACAGCAAGAGAAGACACAACATCTCATCACCCAGAGCAGACAGCAGCATCCAGACGATAAACCTGTTTGCTTGACATGCTTTTAACTATTGGTGATTTACTTAATCAGGTCTCACAAAGAAGCAAATTAAACCCACAGCTATTAGAAACAATGACTGCTTTTTAATAGAGACAATAACTTTGCCCAGGCTGGCTGAATCCATTCACTGTCTCTGTGATTTCCCTCTGGTTGTACATTGTAGTCAAACTCTCACATACAGGCACTTTAGCTTTGTTTCTGTAAGGCCTTTTTAATAAAATTAATACTATTGCAAACTCACTCCTTGACTCTGCCAAGCAAACACCATGACCCTACTCATTAAATTGTAGAGCCATTCATGCCCAGAATAGTAAATTCACCATCTATTACAATAAAAAATAAAATCCTAAGGTATCCCAAAATTTGGGCAGTTATTCAAAGTTTTATCTTCTTCTAATAAACATATAAATCAAAAACAGAACCACAGGGTAAGATGCTAAATGCTTAGTTATTGATGAAGGCATTCCTAGAATATTTTACTAATGGCTCAGACTTGATGAATATTAAAAAAAATCCTAGTGATTTTGCTTAAAAAACATTTAAAAAGTGCTCAACACACTGGCAGGAGAAATATAAAGTGAAAACTACCCTTTAAATAACGAAGAAATAGAGCCAGCCAGGCAGAGGCTGGAGGGAGACAAATTATGAAACCCTTGTCAACCCCACTGAAGCAGCAGCAGCACTGGAGCTGTCAGAGCCAAGCTATGGGACCACACTGCTGTGGATTAAAGACAGCAAGTCCAAAGTCAAGAGAGACCATATTCAGCCCAAAAAGCTTATGCACCAGGACTTTCCCCATGAACAATGCTCATTAAAATGTTCAATCTGTGTCAAGGGTATATTTTAAATGGTAAATCACAGACAAGCATATTTTCTAGCCATATTACCATATAATTCCTATTAACTACCATTTGCTTCAGCTGGGAACTTGGTACTAACTCTTCTACTACTCTCAGAAATATGGTATACACACTCTCTCCCTAAATAGACTTACTGTTGCACTATCAATGACAATCAGTAATCGAGATCCAAGATCATGGGATATTTTCTTCTAAAAAAATATGTTTTTCTGTGGATACAGCACAATTCTGAAGCCTGGTATCCCTGGGATGTGCATGTTAATAAGAATATGAAAGTTAAAATGAGTATTTCCCTAGGTTCCCATGGGAACACCACCACTTACTTCCAGATCTGGACAGTTTCAAGCTACTGGGTTAAACACTTAATAAAACATATCTAAAAAAGTTATTCCTAGATTTTTCTGTGGCTTCCCAATTACTGTTCATTGGAACTAATGGCTCAAGGGGTAGAGAACCATTAAAGCACAGGGGAATTTAGGAAACAGCATGCTAGTGAGGCCAAGGACGTAGGAAAAACACTGGGAAGTAGGCAGAGGAGTTTGAATGTTTGAAAAGACAGCTCAACTGTTTAGGAAAGGAATGGAGTGACACTCATCAGTGGTTATTTATGCACTCTTTACACTGTTTTCTAAGAACACCCAGTGCTGCCTGCCATGGGTTTGCTGTCCAGCCACTTACAACTCCAACCACACATACCCAGCTTCTAAGTGAAAAACCTTCTGTAGTTCAACACAAGCCACGTGGGGAGAAGTTTGTCATCAATTTGAGATAAAGAAATTCTGACTTTATTTCTGAAGCACTGGGGAAGATGAGAGGAATTCCAGGAAAAAAGATCTAGCTAAAGCTGGTGAAGTGTTGGACTTGGCAGTGCTGGGTTAATGGTCAGATTTGATGGTCCAGCCTGAATGATTCCATGATTCTCTACTTGCTACAGAAGAATAAAAGCATAGAGGGAAGTTGCATTCATAAATTGACATGTCTCCAGTCTTTAGAAACACTATCCACACACTGCATGTAGATTCCTGACTGTGTACAACTGCATTCTCTCCCTATGCTTTCCATATGCATTAGGACTTGCAGCCTAAACCAGAACTTGATGTCCACAAGAGGCTTTCTTTTGATTGCTACTTCATTTCCCTTGAGTGACTAGACTATGGAACAGATCCTGTCTTCTCAGGATCACAGATTTGTTAGCAATAATTACAACAGACTAGTTGCAAGTTAACCAAAAAGTTGATGAAAACAGAATTCTCCTTTTGAAATTAAAAATATCAAGGGCTCTTACATGGAATAGCAAGAAAGTCTTGGTAAGCATTAAACAAACAGATGAGATAAAAAATGTGTTAGACACTTATAACACTTCATACAAATGTACCCTATTAATACAGAGATTTCTGAATTGCACTAATTTTTAAAGAAACAAATCCCTGAAGACAAAAGAAGTAGACTAATACAATTATATCTACTGTGCTATTTTTTAAAAATGAGAAAGATAAATAAAATTAGAACTTAATCTAGAAAACCACTGGGATAACATAAATTAGGTTCTTGGGAAAATACAGATTTGGACAATAAGAGAAGCTGTGTTTCAATTAAAGCCTTTGATCATTCAAGATAAGTATACCGGAAAATGAAATTTTCTGCTTTATTTGATTTCTTTAGGAAATAATCTATTTCTTCTCTGTTTCTACTCAAAGTACCAGAAAACCCACCCTAAAAAGACACAACTAAAGTCTCCCACTGTTCCCTTACTGAACACAAGCTTTTCTCCCAGCTCTGAAATCAAAATTTCTTATATCAGTTACTTCATCCATAGTGCGTATTATATATGCTGCTACAGTGCTCTAACATTTCAATTTGCTTCTGGTATTTTCAACATTTCTTTAATTTCTTTGTAAGAATACACAAATAAAAACTGTCTGTTTACTGAACAATAAAACAATAAAAAACCCTTTATCTTCCCTCTAAACAAAATCTTCATTATTCTTGCACAGACTTCCATTTCTTATTGCATAGAAAACAAAAAAAATACTACAGATGTCTGGAAAGGTATCCTGCAATGAGAAACTTCAGGATATTTATTTAATTTCTTAGATTGAAGGTAAGATTGGGACTCGACCCTTTCATATAATACCTTTTAGTAAGGTGCAGACACAGACATAAAATACAGCATGTGGAGACTGAAGTCAAGTCAGGAATAAAACACAGGTTCTTTTCAGCAATAGAGGTAATCAGATACCAAGATAACTTACCATGGGAAGTAGCAAGACTACTAACACAGAGTCATTAAATCAAATTTTCATGTCTCTAGCTAAAAGATACACCCTAATATCAGCACAAACTCTTGACTCTACAGCATTCAGTACCTCAGTCAACCCCCTGTACTCCAGAACCAAAGTCCAAAGGTGTAGGAGTTGCACAAAGCCACAGAGACCTGGTGACCAGCAGCACGAAACGGTGTCAGCTGTCAGTCCATTCCTCCTTGGTGACATTGCAGTGACAGTTTCAAGAGCAGTTGTTTCAACCACTCCTTATGTTAATAACTAGGACAAGAGGAAAAAAGACCCATTATACCATTCTCAAACTACTGCCTTTTAGTAATTTTGAAAATCCCAAGGGAAGCAGTGGTGATAAAACCCATGCAATTAAGTTCTGTTGACCACATGAACTGTGGAACAGGCTCCCACTGCCCCGAGTGAAATAAAATGGCTTCAACAAAGATCTTTGATGGAGGGGTCCCTCTGTTGCCCACACAACTAGTCAGGATCAAATCAGAGCCTGGAAGAACATCAGCCTTTTACTCAATCCATGGTAGAATCCATCAAGCAATATACAGATGGCAAAAATTAACTTTATAAGCACTATGATGGGCACAACAGTTGACTGTACTTTAAATTATGGATGGTCACCAACTGGGACATTGGACTAGAATAAGACATGTACACCTGTAATCATGACTGTCCACTTCAGAGCACTGTTAGCAAACGGTTATCTTCAGGGACTGTTTATACTTAAAACTATTCATTTATGCTGACATTTCAGATTGAACTTAAAATATTAGCACCTGCACTTACCGTATTCTGCAAGCATTTGACTGAAAGAACAAGCAAAGGAAAAACTAAGGTAAAATGTATATATCCTGAAATGGACTTCAAGAAAGCAAATTGCCACACCACATTATTGTATCCTTCAAGTGACGGTCTTGTCATTGTGGTATTTCAGGATTTGGTTACCAGCATTAAAGAAAAAAAAGATTATGTTTTTTTTTGAGCACACTTATCAGACAATGTTTTTAAATTTTTTTATTGAGGAATTAGCAATAACAGCTATCTTGCAGCTTGAAAGTTCTTTAAAAGTTTATGAAGATTTGGCATCAATGGCAGACCCATTTACACTGTGCAAGAAGGAAAATAAACAGTCAGGACACAGTAAGCACTGAATATTTTCAGTGCACGTTCCAGCCCCAGAAAACAAAAGAGCCATTTTTCTTGTGTTGCAGTTTGTCACCCTCCCTTGTAGATTTACACAGGAGGTGGGACAGCACCAATCCAATCTTAAAATATCTCAATCATTCAGTCTTTTTCCTTGACCCAACTTATCACTTATCTTCACAGATCACAGCAGTTTCACCAGGATGCTCTGTCTTCAATTTTTTACGAGATGGCTCTCTGGGGAGCAGAGCTGTGCAGTGCTCTAAGGACCGGGCAATTTCATCAATTGTCCATTTGTCTTCGTGAAGGGCGTGTTCCTCCAGCGTGAACGGCCCCTGCTTGGTGCGGGTCAGCTCCTGCATAGTGGCACAGGTAGAGAGTTCTGCAGGAAGAAAAAGAGGAATTTAAAAGCTTAACCATTTGCAGCTCACTTAAAATGTATTTTTATATGTAGCCTTCCACATTATTCTGCTTTGCCTGAGAAGGAAGTTGACGAAGATTTATCACTCATTTATATCTTCTTAAATGCAAGCCCAGGAAGTCCTTTGGTTTCAGTAGATCTCCGGAGTAGTAAAGAGTTCAGAATCTGACAGAAAGTTGTCAAAAATTTTCCCAGATTTAGATCAGAATGAAAAGAGAGGAAATAATGTCATAAGATGTAAACAGAACATTCTGCATTCGCAAGTGACCATGAACTATTTCTCCACAGATTTTGAGGTGTTAGCACTTCTTGCCTTCAAGAATAATTTTTGACATTTTTATCCTGTGCTGCCTATCAGGATAATATAAACTAAGATAAGGAAAAATAAAAAAATATATACAAATGCTCTGCTGTGTTAAATAAATACCAGCAGGACACAATTACATAACGAGGGGGACAAAACATACCAGCAACCAGAGCTGACTAGTAAGTGCACAGGTACACTAAAATAATTTCTCCCATCCTTTCTGATGCAGGAAGATTTTCACTGCATTTTCAGTTTTTTAAAAGAAACCAGTTTCAGACAGACTTTATCTTGGTTTATCATTAAAAGGCTAAACATAAGCCAGTATGATCAGAAGGCAGTAACAGAAACTTTGACTTGCCTAAGCACAAATAACAACATTGAAATTCATAGGGTTATCCAACATTACTTGCCTTCTTGAACTGCAAATGTATAATTTAAGAAAAAAATTGGAAATGGATTATCTATTCTCCATCATGCAGTTTGATATAGAGCACAAAACAAATAACCCTGTGGGAAAGCAAAACTATTCACAGTTAAGGCAAAGCAGAAAGAAAACACTAGAAAAATCATCACCAATGTAGAAGTCTTTCCAGCAGATAGGGTTTATTATGTGCATGGTAATGTTCTGTTCAATCTCTTTTCAAAATGTGATGAATAATGTTTAAATGTTTAAAAAGACAGTGTCTTTTTTCTTCTTATTATCTTTAATCTGAGTTAGCTTTAACACATGGAGGAGGAAATAAAAAAAATCCCCACCTTGCCCTGCATTATCTTGCTGAGTGCTATTGCCTGCTCCACTTTTATCCCCCAGCCCCCAAGGTCCCCTGGCAATTATTCAGCCTTCATTCCCCCCATGCTCCCAAGAAAATTACCTTAGTATATAAAAACAAGTGATAGCACTACAATTCTGCAAAATAACACATAGGTCTAGTTCCTGGAGATAGGCAAAATGACAGAATTTTTCCATAAACACACACTCACTCCTTAAATTGTCCTGCTTTTTTTTCATGCCTACCTTTGCCAATGTCACTGACCAGGCTCCTGACATAAAAGCCACCGCCACATTCAACATCTGGAATGTTAAAAGTGACATAGTAAATTGCCAGTGCAATGTGAAATCTACTTTACATAGAAACCATGCCCCCACACAAATGTAAAAATGAGCTAAGCAAACAACCCAGTGATAAAATATTTATAGGATGCACCATCAATTATTCATCCTGTAACATATGTGCGGGTGAGATTGCTAAGCCAGACAGGAGGGAAAGCAAATAAAATGGCAACTGAACTAACTCACTGGAATTTAAGTACTTGCTGTGGTATGTGAACAAATGCTTCAATCCTATTCATTTTAAGCATTTCAGAAGGTTGATTCATATTTCTAATGATGAAGGCAAGTTATTTCAAGTACTGCCTAAACTGACTACCAATGCTTTTAAGATACTGCAGGCAGGCAGCTGCATAAAATTTTAAAATTCACCTTTAACTTTCCCTGCTATCTCGGGTCTTCCCTTCCCCCTCTGCCAGTGATCAGCTACTAGTCATTCAACCAAAAAGTAAGAGCTGAAGTAACACAGCACTGAGCTCTGTCACTCATACCTGCTCATCATGTAACATCTGGTCCACCAGAGGACCACAGGTCAACTAGGCAGGCAGATCAATGCAAGACATTATCTTGACCTTACAGGAGCATCAAACATTTACAACAGTTCTTTTTGGTTTATTTATTAATGTGCTTCTTAATGTACTATCCAAGTTTCTTGATGTATGACAGAAGGAAGGATGAGATCCTGCCTCCTCAACGAAGAAAGGGTTCTGACAGTAACTGATACTGGTCCCTGCTGCGCCCTGGGAGAGATGCCAGCAGGGCTGGGCATCTGTGTAAAAGAATGGGCAAAGTGGAGTAAGCAGACCTGAGACAGGAATGAGCTGGAGGTTGCAAAATCATGGACAGATGCAAATAATCCCCTGACCAGTCTCTCAGAATTTTCCCTCACTGAAAGATTACATATAATCAGCTTAACTTAAACCCAAAACATGGTGCTTTTAATGCAAAGTGAAAGTCTCTGCACATGGGCTGACACCAAAATAAGCAGTTGAGTGAAATGAAACCCATTTCACTATCTTAGTCCCATTGTGAGTGTAAATAAACACTAACAAGCTGGGAGCATTGCTCTATGTAATAAACTTTGACCTTTACCCAGCGTGAACAGTGGTGGCTGGAACTGCTGGAGAGAAAGGCTGTACACTCTCACTGGTCGAGCAGGCTTTGCTTCAACTGCTTCTCCCCTCTTCATCAGAGTTGAAAGCCTTTCTCCATCCTTCTTCAAAGCAGAATAGCTGATCAGACAGAGCATGAAAATGTGTGTCATACGGTTGTAACAGAACAAGCTTCCCATTCTCTAGATCCTGTTAATATTGGACTGGAGTAGCATTTTACTCCTCTCCAAGTACTCACAAAAAACCCACAAAATCTCTTGGACACAGAATCATCTCATTTGACAGCAGCTCTATAAACTGGAAAAGAGGAGATGGTCCTATATTTATCTCTTGGTGTACAGATTTAAAAGTGTTTCATCACTCAATTTGCAGTTTATGAAATAAAAGGGTTTCTATCAGGGTTACAACACTTGCATCTGCCTCTAACATCCTGTCTCTCAGAAGTCTGCAGGGCATGCTCTCTTCTAGCGTTATGTTGAGCTGAGCACTGGGAGTCGCTCAGACAACTCCTGTAGTTCTGCATTGCACCTTTCCTTGTCTCACACCAGGGTCTGTCCTGAACAGCAACTTCCAAGTTATGTACCTATGTTCTAGGGTGTTTAGGGAACCATTACGGAACCAAAGAAACTGATTTCACTGATTATATGGAACTTTACCCAAAGCCCCAACTTTGGTCATGACAGCAAGATGACCACAGAAAAATCAAAAAAGGTCTTGCTCAAATTAATAGAGAGCAATTTGAAACAGGTCACATGAAGCAGAACACGTACAGAGTTCCAGACCTTACAGGGTTTACATTGGAACCACGGTGACATATGGTAAATGCAAAGGAAAGTATGTTAGCTGGAATCACCATAAAAGCCATCTGTCACAAGCCAAGTGCTTGCACACTGCCAGCTACTGTGGCTCACCTGACCAGAAGAAATTTGCTCAGTCATTCATCACTCATTCACACTCTAAGGTTGCAGAAAACTAATTCAAAGTCATTTAAGGCACTTCCACAGAGATGTCAGGAAGATTGGAAGGCAGGACAGAAGCCATCAAGCCCTGTTCAAGACTTTTGCTACTTGACATTTACCCAAAACATCCACAGACTCCAGGTCACCATTTGCGCTCAATCTTCAAACGAGCATGACCTGCACTTGCAAATGTTAAACTCCTGACTGCCTTGCCTCTATCCTCTTGCCAAAACGTGTCTCAATACTTCTGGGAGAACTGACTTCTGTTGGCAAGTCCTCACAGCTGAACACAACTGTCAAGATTGTCTGAATATTGTGGAACTTACAGTGGAGGGACTTGCATGATGTGCCCCGTGAACTTTTGCAGCACATTTTCAAGATCTCCTTTTGTTACCTGATCTGTAGAAAGAAAACAGTCAGTATGTTAGTACTGATTATTCACATGGCACTAATGGCATCAATCACGTTCCACAAACAGATACAAATCAGAGTTCCCTCTCATGTGAATTTAGCTTGAGTGAAAAACACCAAAGAAAAGAGAAAAAACAGAATGTAGGTAGGAGTGTGAATTATCACAAAAAGAGTGGAACAAACTGTCCAAGGTGATTAAGACAGTCTGGACACTTTCAGAAGGGCAGAAATTCTCATATACACAATTTTCTTCTGCAATTTCCCTCACCTGAGGCTGCAAATCTATCTTTCTTGGGAACTAGACCAAAACTACAACATTTGGCACATTCTAATTTTTGTTAAAGCACCAAAAAGAATAAAATGCTCATCTAACCTTGGGAACTTCTCTTTAAAAGTACCTAACTGCTGGTGAAAACACAACAGATAATTAGAGAACAAAACCATTGGGTTTTGTGGGTTGTTTGTGTGTTTTTTTTTTTAGTGAAGAAGATTGTGTCTGGAACAACACATCAAATTTCCCTGTCAAACTTGCAAATGCACACCAGGGTATAGTTACATACTAAGTAAGGTAATTTTACTAAAGAAACCCTGTAAAAGAAAGACAGCTGTTTCAGGCAATCTATTTGAAGAGTACACATACACATCTGTCCCACTTTTATTAAAAGGCTATAACCTAAGTAGCTGATTGCATTGGTCCTTTGAAGCTCTATTCAACAGATATGACATTCATCCCTAATTTGTTTAGAGAGTGCAAACACAAGATCTGTGATCACAATGCACTTCAGTGCATTTCTACTGTCTAGGGCTTCACTAGTCCTGTTTCTTATAAGTTATATTCAATTAGTGTCACCCAGCTAAGTCAACAGGGTTCTGGAACAGAAACCAAGCAAATTTATTTGTTGAGCCTTCATTATATTTTGGAACAGATCTTTAATTGCAAGCTTTACAAAACAGATGTACTTCATGCTGTAAGTAAGTAAGATGAGATTTCTTTTCACAGCAGCTTTAGGAGATGGTATTGTGGTACCTCAGTCTTGCAAAGCACACTTTGCAGCCTCAAGAGAAGGGATGTCCCTAGGCCCAAGCAGCTGTCCCAAGAAGTGTTATTAACAGCAGGGTTGGAAGACCTTGGCAAGAGGCACAAAATTCAGTCAGGGATGCTGAGAAAGACCAATTTACATCAGAATACAGACTTGGAACAACAAAATCAATTGTATAGTAAGTCCGAATCTTCTGAAGAGTTTCTTACATTGTTATTTCAATCTTTTGTTTCTATTTAGCAAATTTCTATATCACAACAAAACTACACAGTGGAAAGTTAGCATGACCCAGTTCTATGACAATGACCCTGTCAGCCTTCTTGTGAACCCCAAGTTGCTTCACGTTAGAATTCAGTATTTGAGACCTAAGCAGAAGTGTCCCTGGGGGTTCTCTTTCCAATTTTCATCCCATGAACTGCATTTGTGACAAATGAGAGGTCTGAGTTCAGTTCTGGCTCTGATCTCATATTCCCCGATTGAGAAGTTACATGCAGCCTCTGAGGAAGTCACTCGTAACATAGGCAACCTCTGTCTCAGGAGATAAACAAAAAATCCCCACGTGAGGAATGATGCATTAAGCCATTAACAAACAAACGTTGTGTGGTGCATAATCAAAGTAAATATTTACAGATGAGTTTGCTAAGATCTAGAATAAATCATATTTGTCTTCTGCAATACATCGTGGCACAAGCTGGCCAGTATTACGTTCTGAAAACCTAAACCCATGTGGTTTGTTGTTCGTGTAAACAGGCAACACTGCCTTTGTGTTAATGGATTGTACTGGATTCTTGTCCTCTCCTAGAACAACATACAATCTGGTGGAGCTTTTTCCAGCACTCCAGAATGTTTTATTAGTCTTCTCCCAAACAGTTTAACTATGTCTAAACTCTGTATTTGTTCCAAGCACCAGTTTGGACCCATGGTTCTGCAGGGCTCTCTGAACCATCTTTCAGCTCCCAGTCATTACATCCACAGCACAGGCAGAGGGGAATGTGGTCCTGCTGCCCAGAACTCTTTCCCCTCAGGACCCTGGCCACAGGTCTTCCTCGCGCAGCTGTGGGCTTGGGTTTATGTTAACAGCTTGTCTGGTCAGCAAGTTGAGGGCAGCATTTGGACTCAGCCCTCCATCAACTTGAATATGAACACATCCATAAAGGCAAATTAGCACAAAATGTCCCAAAACGTGCTGTTTGACCTTCTTCTCCACTCCCTGAGAGTAAAGGGTTGAGAGACATTTCTGCAGGACACCTCTGTCACTGCCCTTGCTAAAGAGAGTAACCTATTCCTCCCAAGGTCCTCATTCCAAATACCAAATATCCTCAATCTGCTGTATTGCAGACCATGAGTCTTAGCTGGAAGCTGGCCTCAAAACTGCACCTCTGTGTCCCTCCAGGGAGGGGTGTGGAGGCTGTCCCCCTGATTCACAATGATTTCAGTAAGGACTTTCAAGGTTTAGCTCACGGGATAATTTCATCCAGTCACCAGGAATAATGAAAACCTTAACTCAGAGCAAAAAGGCTGTACCTGCTCTGAGGACACTACTTGGAATACATTCCATTCAAGACTCTTTTCTAAATTTCCTCCTAAGCCCTTAGACTGGCAGTGTAGTTACATGGTTTCTGCACAGGCTCCGCATCTTCCAGTGGATCATTCCTTATGAATCTACCAGCATCCCAAAGTACCCAGAACTTCTGGCCTCCAATGCTTCTAAAAACATTTAATATAAGGCTATTAGCTTCTAACAACAAAAATTCCAAAGAACAGTTGTGTGCTTCTGAACACTGGTGACTGTTGATTTTTTTTCCTGCTATAAAAGAAGGAAAATAGTTACCAAACCATAAGGTGCCAACTGTGCCACAACCTCAAGAAGCCTCCACTGAAGGCTTGTTAACAAACAACACCTAAACAGAACTCAAGAATTATCCATGACAGTCTAACAAAAGTACAGCAGATGATCTCAATTCCACCTGGCCTGGCACAAATTATTTGAAAACAGACAAGCAGAATGCTGAAATTACTACATTTTCCAAATTATTCAGGTAGCTCTGTTAAACATATATTTCAGCATAATCAGCAGAGACCTGCAGAAAATCCTCATTAATTCTGTTCTCCATATCTGGATATGGCCTGTAGGCAGCTGGGAGGAAGTGGGTTTCAGAATGCACATCCCTATGCATAGTTACAAATATTAAAAATGGGCTACAAACATTAATGTGCTCAAAAAGGCATCAGAAGAACTCTAAATGCTAGGTGCTTCCAAAGCCAGCATCTGGTAGCCTGGCAGCAGTATGAAACCATTTCAGGCGGAAATGCAAACTCGTCTGATAAGAAACAATCAAAAAACTATGAGAAGTTCAGGAGGAGTTAAAACCAAGGAACTCTTTTCAGTACATCCTTTCATTGTGACTAACTGTACAGTTTGCTTCCTCAGCTGCTGTCTAGGGACACTTTGAGGACTAAAATGTAACATTTCTTATAGTTAAGATAGCTGGCACCTTTCTGCAGGCACTTTCCTCTTGTGGTCCAATGGAGTCATTCAAGAAGAGTTTTATATAACTTGAAACTGTTTTAGTGCCCTTTCTCTGCAATAAGGCCCAATCTTGGTACAGTAGGATTATATTCCCTAGCAGACGCTCTGCTTCTCCCAAGATCCTTGCAGGTATCAAAGGAAAACTGCAATTCAGCTCAAATATCTGGTTTTGGAGTACCTGTAAAGGGTTAGAGATTAGGGATGTTGGGCCACCCTGAGTACCCTGCAGAAAACCAAGCTGATTGGGAGAAGATGAGAAACATCTGTCTTATTAGAATGGGAGAAAGGAAGGAAATACAAAACATGTAGGTACCATGGAAAACAAAAAAGGAATATGCATGTTCCCTCCTTTTCTTTTCGAAGAAATCAAATCTGACTGATTTACGCCAACATGGAAAGCAACTGAGACCAATTTCATGAGCGTTTTCTTTCTGCTCTCAGTCTCAGTAGAAGAGAAATACTGCTCTTCATGAGACCACTTGAAGAACTGCAAATGCAACTGATCTCAGTTTAAAATGATTAGCAACCCAAAAAAGGGGGTATTTTTAACCCAAGTAAATTCTCCAAGCACACAGTCTAACAGAAAAGCTAAACCACCATAACAGAGGAGGTGGTGCAGAGGTGGGAACTACTGTAACAGTAGAGCCAGTGAGAGAAATGCACTTGAAAACAACACTAAATTCTATCTGCAGTAAACAATACAAAATAAGAAAAGTAAAACCAGAGTCACAAGAAACACTTTTTTTTTTAATTTAACTATGGGATTTGTATCTACTTAAAATGGTATTTCACAGCTTACATATGAGCAAGTATCTGCAACAAATACCAATTAGTGCAGCAGAACCACAACGTTCCACCTTGAATGAACCAAGAAAGTGTCCTTTCCAACCATCATGAAGCATTGGCAACTCCTAACACCATGTGCATGCTCAGCCCAACTCTTCAGAAGCTCAGAGAGATTTAAAACTTGATCCTGAAGAAAAAGCAAATGATCCAACATCTCCGAATAACACTACCTAGTAAATAATACTATTTAGAATGATCCATCATGTTAATGTGGACAAGAAACTCATGCTTGCCTGTCTCATACAAAAATTAAAACTGCAAAAGAAAGGAGACTGGGGGTGAGAAGTGAAATCCAGGCTACCTTTTTCATCAAGCTATTAGAAAAAAAGATAATTTACTTCATGTACCTATTACCAGGTACCACAAACAGTGTAGAGCCTGTAGAGTTGCTAAGCAACCAGTTACCTTTTTTTGTTTTTCTTTTTTACCCCCAGGCTGTGAAAGAAGTAATGGCAAATACATTTACTGTGTCCCTGGTTAGTTCTACATTGTTTCTAAAATGCCCTGGGTATTGTGGAATGTCCACTTCAGCAAAGCCACAGTCAGGATGAGTTCTGAAGCCTTAAACTCTTGCACTGTGCTCTATGGGGCAGAAAAATTCATTTATTAAAGATGTTACAACACAGGCTGCAAGCAAGAGCAAGATTTGGTAGGTGACCATATGAAGAATGTGGTTTATGCCATTCTCATTCTGTGCTGAGCAGTCTGTAGTTAAAGGGAAGATCCAGGTACTTTATTCCTCCACTGGTCTTGAAGGGTTTTACTAAAAGAGCACTCATGGGACTATACACGGAGAGAGGAAAATGTTACTGGACACAGCACGTCATTTGTCAGCCTGTCAAAGATTTAAAATGACACAGTCCTGCCCAATTCTATTTTCTCCCTCCTAATCTAACGCCTGGTTTGCTTTTTTTCCAACAGAAATGAACACTTGCGTTGGACATAATTGCATGAAGCTGGTTTGAATTACATGAGCACTTAAGTTGAAGATGAAATAATCTTAGTTTAATTTCACATTTAAACTTAATTCAGAGTCCCAAACATCTCTTCCGCTTTTCTATGACAGAGACCATTTATGCCTTCAAATTACATCAAGTGTATAGATAATTTATACTTACCATAAGGTTTTTCTTCAGTTACTTTTCCTGTAGCATCTAATGTATCAGTAGCTTTGCCCAGCATTCCAATGGCAGTGTATTTCTGGGAAGGAAGAAGAGAGATGGAGAGATTAGTGAGTCAGGTCATCAAGGTTGTTTCTTCTCTTCTTTTTCCTTTTTTTTTTTATATAAAGACTGCAACTACCAATTACTTCAAATCAGAACAAGAAGGATACTACCTGAGTAGTCAATCCAGCAACTTTGGGTAAGCAAAAGTCAAGAGGGAAAGACATGGAACTAAACAAAAGTAAATCCTGTTACACGTCCCTGTGATTTTGGTTTTAGAAACCCAAGCAAGAAGTAACATGGAATCCAATTTTTACTATAAATACATCAATACCATAAAGAAAATAATGGGATGGCAAAATCAAAGTCTCTGTGGGGTGTCATATGTCATTGTTGAAGCAAGGCACATAGAGTACCTTTCACAGACAATTTTTCTGTTCCTTTGCACATTAAAAAAAAAAACATACAAAGATCTTTACTTGTGAAAACAAAACACCCATTTCCAAGGCAAAGCATTGCAACAGTTCTGCCAGGAAATGCAGTGATATGCAATAGCCTGAAGCTGGAGCTTTGATCACCTGGAATCTGCTAAGGACCTTGTGACCAGCACAAGGAGTGCAAGGCCACTGAGCAACACCTCTGCTTGTCATGAGTTCTCTGATTATTTCTGTTTCAGGGTTTTTCAGGGTTCTTCTCTAAAAAACTGTTCAGCGTACATGTCTGTAGTTTGCAAGAAGGAACTGACCTGTTCCCAGGACAGTAGCTCTTGTTCTTATTGCATTTCACCTGCTGCCCCCCTTTTTCATGTTTTCACCCTAAGAAGTGCCATGCTGTGGGCATAGGGCACAATCTCCTGGAGCTGACAAGGCTCCCCAGGAACCAGTTGCTCCATGTCTTGTCACAAGGCTACCAACACCTGAAGACTCACTCTCTAACGTGAGTTTAGGTCAAGTTTGCAGATACCATCAGGGATTAAGATCTGTGGTTTGATCCTATGCCACTCTATTTCCCTCAGCTTCCTATGTTAAATCCAGAGGCCTTCAGAATAAAGCCTCAGAGAGAAAAATCAAAGTGTTCAACACGCCTACATCCCAGTAACGTTTTCAATTAACTTCACCCCCAGCTGAGTTAATACAAATTTGAACCAAGTCATAAAAGGATGTATCTTTTAGAAACTGGTTGACCAAATTCGACTGGAACACATCCAAACAAGCATAAGCACTAACATTCTACTCTTTGATGCAATGCATCCTTTTTCATGTACTTGCAAAGTACAAACAACCTCAAGTAATAACAGTGTACGCATATAAATCACACCCACAACATTGGACTACTAAGACATGCCTTGATTTTGTTCCATGTGACAACCTGCCACTTCTATGTATTTCTTCAAGCAACTGCCACAAAATGGCAGCAGCAGAAACAGTCAGACAAAAGGCAGCAGAGTGCAGACTTTAATATAAAAATAACTGTATTCTTTGCTTACTTCATGTGCTGGTTTTGGCTGGGATAGAGAAAATTTTCTTCATAGTATCTAGTATGAGACTATGCTTTGGATTTATGCTGAAAACAGTGTTGATAACACAGAGATGTTTTTGTTACTGCTGAGCAGCGCCTACACAGAGTCAAGGCCTTTTCTGCTCCTCATCCCACCAGTGAGCAGGCTGGGAGTGCACAAGGAGTTGTGAGGGGACACATCCAGGACAGCTGACCCCAAATGTCCATAGGGATATTCCAGACCATATGGTGTCATGCTAAACTATAAAGTGGGGGGAAGATGAAGGAAGGGGGGTATGCTGGGGGTGATTAGTGTTTGTCTGTCAAAGGCACCAATACACTTGACAGAGCCTGGCTTTCCTGGGGATGGCTGAACACCTTCTTGCCCAAGGAAGTGGGAAATTAACTCCTTGGTTTGCTTTGCTTGTGTGCATGGCTTTGCATTCCTTACTGAACTGCCTTAAACTCAACCCACGGGTTTTATCTTTTTTTGATTGTCTCTCCCATCCCACTCAGAGGGGAGTGAGCAAACAGCTGTATGGTGTTTAGCTGCCTGCCAGGTTAAACCACATTAAACACCACATCAGGGCTACTTTTTCCCCAAATATTGCAGATGTATGAATCCCCTGATACCTCTGCAAAGGCGGGTATTTTAAAATAAAATCTTTGAAGTTTACACACTTTTGGAATGCATGAAAAAGAAACAAAAGGAAGAATGGATGAAGGCTGCTCCACAACAAATATTTAAATTAACTTGCAAGCATATTATGTGCTTTCAGGACCATAAAATTGCCTGCTTTCCAAGACATTTAATGATCTGGTTCTGAACATTTAATAGCATAGCTAGAAAGAGACACTATTCAGCAATTATTCTAGAGGTTAATAAAAACATGTGAGCAGATCATCATTATAACAGCATGATGAATGATCTTAGCACTTCAGTAAAACTTTAAATCTGAAAAATTAAAACCTCATACTCCATCTTCAGATGTTTCCAAATCAAAATACTCATACTACTTCAGTTCAAATTACTTTCTTCCTCTTAATTCTGGTCTTGGCTATCTTGCTTCAGGCTGTCTGTTACAATAACATGTTATAGTTGACCTACCAGCAATAAAGAGATAATAACTGTATGAACAATACAATCCAAATCTCATCACTTAATCTCTGCAACAAAGGCAAAAAAGTATGCAATTTATAAAAAGAACATCCTTAAAAGTTCCCACTCCTTAGAGGAGCCTTTATAGAGTCACAAAATACTCAAGACATCAATGCAATAATCCACAAAAAAGGCTACAATAGGTCAGGAAATTAAGAATTACAGTTGTTTTATGATCAGTCTCTGGAATACCCTTGGGTATCTACAATTATATATCATAATTCTTACTAGCCTTAATAAAGTTTACTTTTCCTTTGCTAGGGTGCAGGACCTGGAGCTTGTAGAAGATAATATGAGAGTCCAGACTTAATCTATTGTTCCTCTTACTTTGTGCCAAAATTCAGCATTGACTCTCTCTAGACTCTCACTCACACTGTCCTCAGAAGCACCCAATGGATTCTGAGTCACTTAAGTCTTCGGTGACCTTTTCTCACCTCTGTTGGCAATCATTTATTTCTTCCAGTTTTCTAAAATACATCTAGGAGCATTCTTCCTGTACTCTCAAATTACAAATCACTGCAGGAACACAGACAGCAACTGCTCACAACCACGCTGCCTTTAACCCACTCAATCTGGAACAAAAAAAGAAGGTAGTAGGTGTTGCAGGAGTGGAAAAGCCTGGCAAGTGCAGAAAACATCCCTCTATTGGCAGCTCCCCACAGAACATTCTGCCAATCAACAGCCCCTACATCCTTGCCCTCTACTCATCTCAAGAGACCAGGACCCAAATCATTTAAAGATTAAAAGCAGCACCTCAACTTCACTATGGGATTCCAAAAGGGTAGCACATTAAAAGCCAAGATCAAGCATTCCTAGTCACAACTCTCAAGTGCTGCAGCATTGTGCATTAATTCCAGCTTTTAGTGGTGGTCTGCATGGTCCCAAAGCAGAGCCTCACAATTGTACAACAGCACCCTGAGCACGTACAGACCATCCCAAAACTCTCCTGCATCAGGGAATGGCTGTGTCTCTCAGCTCTTCAGAAAAACATTTTCTTGACATTATGGCAACCGAAACAAAGGGCAGCAAAGTGATCAGAAGCCCCTGAGCATAAGCAGCTCCTCTACTCACACTAGGGAGGAGATAGCCTTAAGAAGATACTTTACAGTGCCAAACCACTGCACTCTGTCAATGATAATGCACAAACTCTGTCACACGGCCTGGGGGATGTGCTGGATAAAACCTCAGCAAGACCAGACAGACAGTGAAATGCTTGGGCTGTGTGCATTTGCTACCATACCCATGACCAGGAAGAAACATGCCATAAAAAACAGCACTGGAGAAAAAACAGGATTACAGGAACCCATAAGAAACAAATTACAAAAACTCTAATAAATCTCACAGATCTTGGGAACAGGAATTCTGTTTTAGAGTCACAACCACAGGGCACAGTCAACATTTTCATAAATAATAAACCATATGGTTACAATAATTTTTTTAGTAAGAGAATAGCTATAATTTGGCTTTTTTATTTCATATCCAGAAAAATCTTTAGACTAACATAGAAAGGGAAAGAATAGCCATAAAAAGAGAGAGGAAAAAGGCAAGACTTTATCAGTATACATATTTAACACTGAAAGGAGGAAGAGAAGGAAGAAGAATCCCCTCCCGTTCCAGGGCAGTACAGCCAGCAGAGCTTTTAGCTGCACAGCCCACCCGGGGGGGGGGGCCTCGGGGAGGCTAAAGCCCCTGGGCTGACTGCCAGGCATGTCTGCCCCACTTATCAGTGCAAATGCCAGACAGACCATGGAACAGAGCTTCTCAGTTTTAACTGTTAATATATCAAGGTTTTATTTGGAAAGAAGCCAGAGAGTTGAAATCTTAAATTATAACATGTTTTAAAAGCTTTTTCAAACATGGAGAAGCAACACTTTAGAAGAGCTAGACAGAAACACAAGTAATTATGAAACAAGGTCACTAGTAGCTGTCAGGAAGATTTTAAGATGGCTCCCACTACAAGAATTTCCCAGGCAAGCAAGCTCTCTGGAAGAGGCAGTTCATGAGTTCATCCAAGGATGACCCATTTTCTAGTCACAGCAGCAACTGAACACAGAAGTGTAAAAGGAAAATAAATAAAAAAAGGCTACGGTCCCCTGTGCAAGAGACTCAAAGCTGGGAATGAAAAGCCACATTGGATAGAAAAAGAAAGTCAATTTATGTAAACTGATGTCTGCATGTGGCTAACAAGTTTGAGGGAACATAAAACAAACAAACAAAAAACAAGTGCTCTAGAGAACTTGACAGAAATCAGAGTGAGCACACAGCAGGCAAGCACTGATCAGAATTGGTGCTCCTCTGCCAAACCCATTCCATCTGCACTTACAGCTTTGCAGACTTAGGCCACTGAGATAATGAAGAGGCCTTAAACTCTCAGTTTTACA